CACGACTTCTCTATAGATACCCACTCTCAGTAGCATTGTCCATACTCCCAAGTTGATCAAAATAATACCAAGCTTGAAGCTACCCTTAACGCGGCAGAATTTGCGGTCTTTTATACCACTCAGCAATCCCCAGTCATTCCATTCCCGATAATATATAAATAACTACGGACCAATCACAGAGATCGGTGCGTGTTCCGTTGTTGCTCTATACCATGAATACTTTCTACTTGCCCTGAATGTTTGTATGCTTGAGCCTAGTCTGAATAGTTTGCGCAAAGTTTTGTCTAGCCTCTGCTTCTTCTCGCAATAAATATCGCTGTGTAAAGTAAAACCAAACGCCAAATCACCGACCTTTTTTCAAAAAAGTAGTGGGGGGAAAAGACATTAGCAGGAGGATGATGTTACTGCTCGTACTTCCCAATCGCAAAAGGTATCAAGCCCTAAATCAGCTACTACCAGCGGGGCCTGTAAGCATAGACGCTGGCGGGAAGAGTGGCGATTCAAATATCCATGGCTAGAAAAATAAGATTGTGGGATGGAAATTTTGGCCTTCCATAAAATAATGCACGCACTACATGCTTCTAATCCAAAAAATTCTGACACAGACCCTTCCCGCTCTGATGAAACAAATCTGCGTGAGCTTGTGGTTGGGGGGAGAATTGCATCAATGCGAAGAACTTCAGCAAGGAAATAGTGCTCCGCCTAACCAAATTTCAAAAGGATTTATTCAAATCAATATGATAATTCGCTAGCTAGTATGCTAATCATTTCGCCATTAAATTAATAAATTCAAGTTTCTACGATTACAATTACACGTCGTTTTAAATTTTAATGGCAAAACCCGCTAGCATGCTCACTTGCAAATTATTCATCACAATGAACTAGAAACTAACGCTGGTGATGGTTATCGGTTAACAAGTTACTGTGTTTTCCAGTGAGCGGTATCTGACCAATCGCGACGCAAGAAAGCTGTATCACACGTGTGTGTGATACCAAACCTGTATCTCATGGGTCGTATCCCACCACTTTGTCGAATTTTTTTTTAGAAAGCGCTAAGAGTCAAATATGTCCTTGTAAGCAGGATGTGACTTCAGGGACTGACTGTATACAACTCAGAACTGTTATTTCATTGTTTGGACCAACAGTCACAGAGTTTGTACAAAATACTGTAGACTCGGCTGCGGTTGACGACTGTTATGTTTGTTTTACTGTTGAGTTTTATCAAAGAAGACATAACTGGTTTCGCTATTTATTTCATTAAATCAGAATAGGATCATTTCACACAAGGTATTGAATCCAGTACTCTTGGTTATATATTATAAGCGGTCAGTTAATGTATACATTCCCTGATCGATGTTTCTCACTCGAGTTGTGACCAAATGGCTTAAGGAGATACACTAAATTACTCCACAACCAACATCTTCTGATAATGGCAGAGGTTGGGATGTGCACAACTTGTTGAGCGAGAGCCAGGGACCCCCGAATCTGGATCAGGACCCCCATACAAAGGAACTCATGGGTTTCGGGACCCCTGAGAAGGAAAGCTAATGGAAGCCCTGTTTATTATTTACCTGCATTTAAACATACAGCATAACAGTGCTGTGACATTCAACAGAAGCTGTAATAAGCTGTCAAAATACTAAAGACGGGTGCTATGACATCCACACAACATTAAAAAGTTTGGGCCGCGTTATCTTGAATCACCAGTGTGGAAGCAGCGAATCGGGGAGAGGTGTGCGTACCGATCTGTGACTGTGCGACCATAGTAGATTTCCGATCGCACAAAGGAGAGAAGGGAAGTCCTAGTGCAGCCTCTGTGTCACCCTGCAGAGACGCATGCATAATCACGGTTAAACCACATTTATAATACACTGTCACAGTTGAACCACATTTATAACACACAGTCACAGGTAAACACCATTTATTATTCACACTGTTACAGTTAAAGTACATTTGAAATGCGCAAAGTCACAGTTAAACTGCATGGATGGCACGGAATCAGTGTTAAACCACATTTTTTTAACACACAATGTCACAGTTAAACCAAATTTATAACACACACAGTCAAAGTTGAAGTGCATTTAAAAAGTGCAGAGTCACAGTTCAAGTGGTAATCCATAAGATTTCCGTCTCGTTACTGTCTGTTAAGTCAGTGTCTATCAGAGAGGGGGGATAAAACAACGATGATTGGGCCTATGACCCACTGATGAAAGCACTTGTATTTCATTCTTTGCCAGGTAAAGCAATCAGTGTGTCTGTGGCGACATTCCCGCGCTATATTCAAACACAGGCGCACATCTAGTGACGCTTTTTACGTCAGTAAGCAGTGTTTGGTCTGTCCAGAAGGTAGGAGGAGCCGCAAGCTAGCTTGAAGGAAGTAAGGACCCCCGGGAGAAGCAATGGCAAGGTAGACGTCAGAAGGGATCCAGTAGCGTACTTTCCCTAACCTGAACCTTGGCTCTATCCCCTAACCCTAAATCTAACTTATCCCTTACACTATAAGTCAGTTTTACGGATGGAATTAAGGGAGGACCGTTAAAAATGCAGCCTTCCAAGAAGCGGAAAGTACCGCTACTGGATCCCTTGACGTCTACCCAATGGCAAATACCATACTGTGTAGCTATACTGTGCACGGTAGAAACTAACATTAGCTGAGTCCCTGTTGAGGCTACTACTGAAACTAAAATTGTAACGTAATTTCAGGAAGCAAACGGGAAAAAAGCTATGTTAACCGCCTCGACAAATCATTTTTATTTAAAAAAAAAAAGTTATAACGTTATCTGTTAACCAACTACCGTTTTCATTATTTACACAGGGCTCTCAACTTTCACATATTCGGGTTGAGTTTAAAAGACATATTCACGTTCCCGTGCTGTAGTCAGAAATTATTCTATCAGACCGTTTGTAGAGATTCTCAGGTGGAATCGAAGTCCTTGTGCATTTAAGTTTATCAGTTTCACATGTGTTACGGTGGATTTCGCCACTTGTAATATGAGAACAATTATGATTCTGGAAATCTCACGCGTTTCTTCGCTCAGGGATTGGAAGCAGTAGAATAGCATAAAAATGTTACAAATGATCTTATTTCATTTAAACAATTTGAACGATTGTGAAACGCACGCATTTCATTGATTGAATAATTACTGACTACAGCACGGGAATGTGAATGAAGCACAAATTCTCTCGGCGAATGCGTGTGAGTTGGAGGCCCTTTAAGTTAATCGATTTATCATAATAGCCTAACATGTTACTGGAATGAGATGAAGCTAATGGATGACTAACGTCACATAATTTTTACTTTTATTGAGTTCAACTGCCGTGTCAAAGAGCATCTTTCCCGTCTGCAATGCATGAGAGTTGAGGAGGCGTGGAACTGGTAAGAGCCGTCAATTTACCAACGTCATACAGGCGACACTGTTGGGTCTCGACAAGAGTTATGAGAAATGAGGTCCAGAAGCACACCTGCAATTACAGCTTTCTGCCAAAGATGTCAATATAAACAAACCAATTCAAATCTTGTGGATTACCACTTTAAATCAAATTTATCATGGGACAGTCACAGTTGAAGTACATTTAAATTGCACAGTCACAGACAAACCAGATTTGTAACAAACACAGCCACAGTAAAATCACATTTATAACACACAATGTCACAGCTGAGCCACATGTGCAACTCACATACAGTCACCATTAACCACATTTATAACATGTACAATCATGGCTAATTCATAACACACTGCCACAGTTAAACAACTTGTTAAAATGTATATAGAACGCACACTGTCACAGTTAAACCACATTCATAACAAAAACTGTACTGTAACAGTTAATTCGCACTGATACTATGTACAATTAACCATATTTACGGCACTAACTGGGCAGATACACCACATTTACAAAAAAAAACAGCAATATTTACACATTTACAACAGCTACATACAGTATAAATTAAATGCACATTCAAAGTTCACCCATTTTTTAAACACACAGTGTAGCTACGCCAAGTAAATAGTACACACTGTGCCCATTAAAACTATGTAAAACTACAATCAGATGTCGTGATAGGTGGTGGATGGCGCTACTAGAGGAAAAAGATAGGACTGATCGGAAAAGGATGGGCCACCATCACTCAATGATCCATCAATAAGAGTTAGGCCATATTGTGGTTATTGTGATCATGCTGGTCCATTACCTCAATCCCACCCTTACCATATACAGCATGATGTCCCCAATCTCGATACCACCATTACTCCATACAGCACGGGGTCCTCCGACTCTATACCACTCTTCATCCTTACTCTATATAGTGTGAGGTCCTCTATCTCAAAACCTCCCTGACTCTATAGAGTATAAGGTCCTCTACCTCTATAACACCCTTACTCCATACAGCATGGAGTCTTTATCTCTAAAACACCCTTACTCTATACAGCATTGGGGTTTCCATCTCTATACCTCCATTACTCTTAAGAGCATGCGGTCTTCTATCTCTGTATCACCCCTTATCCGTACAGCATATGGTTCTCCATCTCTATACCACCGTTAATTCATACAGCATGAGCTCCTCCAACATGTGGCAAAGTCAGAAGCCATCCATCTTCAAATTTACTTCTTAGTCTCTAATTTACACAACCATGAAAAGAAATGCGGATGGTTCAATGTCTTCCTGTCTGTGTGATATGCCAAACAGTATATTGCTCTTCCAGAAAAGTTTGCACGACTCTATGTACAGTCCACTTCATCACTGATCAAGTCTCAGACCGCTTTCTGTTCAAATAATGACTCCTTTAGAACAGCAGACTGCATTACTGTAACTCTGGATTATGGACAGGGATTGACATGAGTGATATGCAAGATCACATCTCCACAAAATCAATGGTATGACTTCAATTCAAGCATTCAGCTTGAGGTTCATACCATTGGATATGTTGTAAGCAACACTGAGTTGCAGGACTTGCAGGCAGGATCTGGGGACCATAGTTGAACCAGCAAAGCATCTCCCTGTTTCTGTAGTGTAGTGGTTATCACATTCGCCTCACACACGATAGGTTCTCATTTTGATACCACGTGGAAACACTATGTTGTAGTGACCACTGATGAAGAAGTGATTCAACTCTGTAACCTTGAGTTCTTCAGAAATGCGCATCGCCTTGCTACAATATTGCTTCATGGATTAAGGTGTCCATCAATGACGTGCAGCAAACCAATGGTATGTTCAAGCTTCATGCATTCAACATGCAGTTCAAACTTTAGGAAAGGCTGCAAGCAACTATGATAAGAAAAACTGTCAGTCAGCGTCCAACAACTGTCAGCTGACAGCCCAGGGCAGCTTTCTGTTTCTGTAGTGTAGCAGTTATCACATTCGCCTAACAAGCGAAAGGTCCTCAGATCGATACCAGTCAGAAACACTCTTTTCAAATGAGAGGGATTCAACTCTGTGACCTGAAGACTGCAATACAGATAATGCCTCATAATTCTGCCACAGTCCACATACTGCCCCTATGCTGCATGAGGCCTCTATCTCTATACTACCCTTCAACCTTACTCTATACAGCATGAGGTCTTCTATCTCTATTCCACCCTTACTCCATACAGCATGGGATCCTCTATCTCTACATCACCCTGATCTCTCTCTGATTGATAATGTATGGTGCATTATGGCAACAAAGGCCCCATAAAATTGCTCAGCTGAAGACCTGCATTATGCCAGAATAGGGGAAACTTTCGCTTACTAAACCTCATCAACTGGCATATTCAGAGCCCAAATGCTTAATGAGCATAATTAAAAGATAAGCCGATGTTACACAATGGTTAACAGTCAACTGTGCCCACTTTTTGGACTCCCGCGGTCATCACATTGTTAATTTTCAGTAAGCAATTAAATTCAAATTGGGACATCAAATAATGTGCTGTACTGTTGTAACTATAGTAGGCAAAAAAAAATTTTCAGATCAGCCCTTTAAAAGTTAATTTGCATTTTCTGTGATGTGCCAACTTTTTTGAAACTGGGCTTATAATAAAAATTTCCATCTGGCACCTCAGTCTGACGATCAGTTCATTGAAAAACCACAATTCCCATTCCAAATCCATCAGTAAACAGTGTTATTTCACCATGGAGGTAAGGTAAATGTCCTTGCAGGGCCCTCTCTAGGCAATTGAGGGGGCTGAGAGGTTATTATAGTAGAACCCAGAGAGGCGCAGAGGAGGATGACTACCTGTCTGAAGAACTCCTCCATCAGAGCGTAAGTCCAGCGGTAATGCAGTTCCCAGGACTTGGCTGGATGGCTGATATCCGCTGCATGCAGCATCAGAGATAGGACTTTAGCCTTGTCTATTCTGTCAACCACAGACAACATCACATCAGCTAATTTTAAACATATACTGTACCTGTGTACGCAGGCTTTCCAACACACTCAAAAACATGTACATATACATGCATCCACAGTGTGGAATCATTCCATGATGAATTTGCTAGTAAATGTGTTCTTGTTTATTAGCTGTTGCTAACATACTATCCTGTGTACAGCAATTATTATTGTCCATATCTCCTTCCACTGATTTGATCAATGATTACATTCATTTAACACCCTCACAATCAAACCCCATCTTTCTCTTTCTGTCTACCTCATCTTCACTCTCTGCTCTTCAGCAATCACTGACAGTCCTACACATGAGAACTTGCTAGAGTGGGAGGGTATACCATGATGTACAGTCTCTTAGGCATTGCGCCATCCATGTTTTGGTATCTGAATCAGAACCTCTCCTTATTCAGAGTTCAACTGCTCCTGAGACGACCACTTAGTCTTAGAGCAAGATTCCAAATGCAAATTTAAGTTTCACTATCGTTTCTGATTAATTATGCTAAGCCTTAGAAACCACCAGATGTAAAATCAGTAAAAGCCCTTATGTTGAATACTATGCTTCCAGTCGAATATTATGTCTCACTAAAGACGAGTCCTTCTGACACTTAGCGCTGAGTAGCACAGAAGGCTAAGGTTCCGAACACACTGCTCAGCTCCAAAGCAAGAAGAACCGGGATATCTCTGGGCTTGTTATGTTTCAATTAATACCCTCTCTTACGAACAAAGTGTTAAAAAATACTGTTTGCAATATCCTAAACATGCTGGTTACAGATTTTCAAATTAATTGAGTCAGATAAACTTGTTTCTTCCAACAATAAAGTCTTCATCCTTACAGTCTGCTTACCACGAATTGTCAAAGGGGATCCTTCATTTTGGTAATATCAGTGGTGAACTTACAATTTGGGAACCACTAAGAAACGATGCTCCATATACACATAGCTCCCAAGTGACCCGCATCTGGCGGGTCCGACCCGCATTTGAATGGCAAAAGCCGCGGACCCGCAAGCAAATGAAAAAACACGCAATTTGCGCAATTTGTGGAGTTACGCGTTATTTCTCCACCCACGCGTAATGATGTGTTATTAATCAATGAAATTAAATGCAAATTCCACCACCCCGTCAATAAAATGATAAGGAAATCAATCGTTTTCTACCCTCGCTCCCCCCAAATTAAAAAAATGAAATGGAATCCCCCCCCCCCCCCTCAATGAAATGAAACGCTGTTGTTATTGACCAGCATTTCGGTCCTTCAAACTTGGGTGGTATGCATACAGATGCAAATGCAAATACATATATGGTGTCCTCACCCATCAGGTTCTTGTAGGCAGCTCTTCATGGTCTTAATTTGCTGGAAATGGCAGGACATGTCTGTGCACATGACCATCTCAACCACTAGGGCACGTAGTTCCCTACAGACAAACAGGAGAGGGGGCATACTCCAGACACTCTTGCAAGATCATACTGCACATGACCATCTCAATGACTATGGAACATTCGTCCCTACAAAGAAATCGGAAAGGAGTCATGGCCCGCAAACGGAATATGATCATACGTGCTTGAGCCTGTTTGGAGCATGACCATACACTCTAAGGTGCATGCGCAACATATTCTCATCCAGACTCGTCAACTAGTAACAGTTCAGTGATGCCCTCATCAAGCCTAAATATATGACGCAAAGATAGTCTTTTGCTGTCGTTATTTGATGGCATTGCTAAACGGTTAGGCTACGGCACCACAAGTACTTGATTAGGTTTAGGAACCAAAACTTCTTAGTTAGGTTTAAGCAACAAAACAACTTGGTAAGGTTCAGGCACCAAAACTGAAAGGATAAGTTCAGGTAACAAAACTGCTTGGTTAGGTTTAGTCACCAAAACAGCTTAGGTTTAGGAAATGATCATGGTGTCAGTCAAAATACTCGCTTTCACAATCTTAACTTTGTCTTTGAAGTCTTTTTGTCAGAAAGTGCGGTAGTATACTGGTTAGCGTGGTTGTCTTGCTGTCACAAAGGTCTGGTTTGAGCCCTAGTCGGCACATATTTTTGCCATATTTACTGTTGTCGTCATGAAACTAATGTTGTTGGCTTTGAAGGCATACCAAAAAAGGTGAAGTGACATGAAAGGGCTCCATTTTTTGCCTATAGTGATGCCTTGGGCATTTGCCCAAATGTCGATATTCGACACCTGAGGAGTGAAATTGGGCTTACATGTGTGCATGAGCGAGTGAGTGCTTAAATCTTTTCATGTAGAGCATGGTCATCTTTCTTTATTTCCCCTCCCCACCACAATGTTTTGTTTTTACAATCATCATTAAAAATAAAGCTGACCCCCAACGGAGGGGGGGGGGGGGTAAAAAAAAAAAAAAAACATGGTAATCTTTCTATTGCTCCAGGATTTTATTGTTCCAATGGTGAAATGAGAAAGACACAGAGCTTACCGCCAGTCATCTTTGGACAGGTTCATCAGGATGTTCATCTCGTCATCCTGCATGAGCCTATAGGCCGCACTCACGTGGTGGTTCTCCAGAACGGAACGATCGTTATACAAAATGGCCACTTCAGACCTGAACAAGCACAGGTCCTAAGAATGAGTTCCTCTGCATTACACACAGAGCAGACACAAGATTAGCACAGAACATTCCATTTAGTCAATATCATTACCAGGGAGACTGTTGCAAAAGGCCCTTTTTATGATTCATTGATTTCCCTTCTTTGGCTTGTTTGCTCCTAACGATTTTAGTTTTTCAAAGTTGTTCTCTAAGACTCTCTCACTTTCCAAAAAACTTTAAAAAAAAAAAACATTTTATTTCATAAGTTATATTGTTGAAGGCACTACGGCAGACAATCTCTACAACAGACATCCTACCCTTGTAGAATTTAATTGAGGAAAACAGAGGAATCAATATGCAACCTCAAAAAAAACAAGAGTAGGGGATTCTTCTTTGTTTTGTGAATTCATAGCTAATCTGACTGTTAAATGGCAAGATAATTTTCCATCTCCGGCACCACCCAAATCTTAAATGACAAGTCAGCAAACTATGTATAAGAATGCTCATATCGGACTCATGCTGCCATCTAAGGAGAGCGCAGACAGTTTGGAATTCTCCTCTAAAACTCGTTCATGTTGACCACCACCTTCTTCACTCATAATCACAATACTCACACGTACAGAATAATCACAGAGGAAATCAGAAAAGATGCTAGCTTAGGTTGCAACCAACGAGCGCCCGGATAGACATGAGACGCTTGAGCAACAAAGTATGCTCACCCAAACACCCAAATAACTGTATCCCTCCCATATCTATGAGCAGCCAATTATGCTACGGTCAATTACGCACTACTTATACAGGTCTGCTCACAGAATAGTGCACATTTCTAATATTTACTTCCCGTTGCTGATTTACAAAACATTTCCATGTGTCAGAAAGTTGGTCACAAACTTTTGGGAGAATCCCAGAGCCACTAGGAGAGATGAGATGTCTACTTCTGAAATAACAACAGCATTTTTTATATCACCTATAATAATAACAATGTTATTATAACACTAATAGGATAAATAATCGATAGTATGTACAACATTAGTTTGGCGCATTATCACCAGAATGTATAGCATCCATTTGGCACTCCGCAGATAGAATCAAGGCAGTGATTGGGTTGGGTTCAGAGATTATTTTGCACCTGAAAATGGGTAGTTTCATCAATACCTCTTACCTGGTCTG